CTGGCCCCAGCCCAGAAGGTGGAGGAGGGCCTGCAGGCAACCCCCTATGCCAGTGGTCCCCAACGCGGTGCCCATGGGTGCCATGGCGCCTGCCGAGGCATTTATGTGCACCCACCGAGTGATCAGGCCGGCCCAAGCCATTCTTGTGCCCTGGGCCCCGGACGCGTGGCAATGTGCGGCTCCCGCCCCGGGTGCACAGCGCATGTGGGGCACCGGCCCCAGGCACGCAGAGCATGCGCGGCCCCACCCCTGAGCGCCCAGCAACCTCAAAAGGTTGGGGACCACTGCTATGGGGCACCCCTGTGCTGGGGAGGTGTAATATTTGTACTGCATTTTGAGATGACTGGATTAACGTTGTCTCCAAATCATACAAATACTAATCCTGGTTTGCATCCCTATATTGTTACTAATGTATATTTTTTTGGGGTGGAGTAAGATCACTTCTAGTTCTGAGGCCCTTCCAATAAAGGAATTGTTGCCTCTGAAGGCCGTCCTTGCTTGTGTGTTTGTCTGATATTAATAAATTTAAACTTACTGTTTTTGTGTAGATCGCCTTACAGTATATTATGCTTAAATATGTAAATTGGGTATTCTGTGGTTTTTTGTGATTTTTTTTTTTTTTTTTTAAAAGCTATAAAATGTGATTCCATCCGTTTCTAGCCCTTATACCAGGGGAGGGGAACCTAACACTTGGAGGATGGAGATGACCCCTGGCTTGTCTAGACCTGGTCCTCCTACACTCTGGTGTGTGAGGAGAATGTGGGGAGTGTTTTTCCTTCTCAGTCAGGGGCCATGTCAGTGAGGGTTTGAGGGTTGTGGGGTGTTTTTTTGCTTTTCGCTTGTGTGCAGCCCACGACCCCAAAATGTCCTGTCCATAAAACTTTGTCTAGTGTTCATGAAGCTGAGCTGCAGTGAGCATAAAATGATGGGCCATGTTATCTTCCCTGCTTGCAGGCTCTTTGCTACTTTATCAATGCAAAGATGCTGGAATCCAACTGCGATTGCTAAACTGATACCTGACTTGGTAGACAGGAATTCTCAGCTGACATAAAATCTAGTGGAGTTACTTTCTGTGCCAGCTGTCTCTGTCCCCTACCCTTCTCCAGGCATGAGTGGTTGTGAATGGTTGGGGAGGGTACATTGTAGCATAGCAGAGCTCAACATGGCTTGGGGATAACAGCCAGCTTCTGGTCACCTTTGGGCTGAGGCCAGAACATCTTTAGATCTTGGGAGGCTTCTTAATGATCACTCTGTTCTTTCTTGCATCTTGTGGATGTTGGTGTAAGAGAGAATTGGAACTCAGTATCTGAGATGTGAAATAGCCTACTCACCTCAATGCTGGAATTCCTTCTGAAGACCAATGGTAGCTTAACGTTGGCTGATAAGATGCTTAAACCATCATTGTTATGAGTACCAACCCTGCAATTGTTGTCAAGCATTTGCTGAGGTCAGGTTTTGTATACACATCACATTGCTTTCCGTGTAGCTATGCAGTGCAGACAGTGTGCTTTTCATTGGAGTGAAAGTCTTTGGCAGGGGGGCAGGCAGTGTGGAAAGGTCTCAGATGTTCCCTGCTGCCAGAGCTTTCCACTGCGAGGAGGAAGTGTTCTAGAAGCGAGGACCGGGAAGAGAAGCTGAGCTTTTTCCTTGTTTCCTTCTCCCCTGCTACAGCTGCTTCCCTTCTGCTGATGCCTTTCTCTCTTGAAAGGAAGGTCTTCAACAGCAGGGAGCTACTAGAGCCTCCTTGATATTGCAGCGTTTCCCTGCAGTGTGGAAGAACTCCATGGCAGGCTGCTATGCTGCTCAAAATAGCCATATAGATGGGAGGCCCAGCTTAGGCTGGTAGAGACCACATCTGTGCTGCTGTTGGTACCCCCTCTGGAAGACCTATGCATCTATGTGTACTGCACTCTGCCAAAAGACTCCTTTTGTAGTGTAGATGTACCCTTAGAGTTAAAGCCCTTTTCCATCCCTATGTTAAAGTTATCTCTGACCTCAAAGAAGAGCTACTTCCTCTCCCCAGTGCCAAAAGTGGTCACTGCCTCTTGAATGTCACCTGTAAGCTACCTCCCATAATTTCTGGATGCCAAAACTGCCGGCTTTCCTTCTGACAAGGAAGTGAAGTGTCTTCAATACAAAAATCTATAGCATGCTGACAGTTGAAAACTTAGGTGTGGCATAAAGTAAGTGACACTTGAGATCCAAATTTGTAATGATAATGGACTGATCATATCATCCAGTCCACTAAGTCAAGTCACTTCACTTTTAGCTGCTGTAGAATTTCTGAATTCTCAGGGTACCTGGTAATGGACTGCAACAGAAACAATGGGCATGTTGCTACAAAAAAGTAAAGTCCATCTTGCCACAGGTCACTCAAGGCCTTGAATATCTGCTTCCCACAATTAGATTGAATTTGAGTTGCCTTACGAAAAAGCAATGAAGTAATTGGAATTAATGTTCAATTCTCTCTCTCTCTCTCTCTAAATGGTCAGAAGTCCCTTCCTACAGAATGCAACCTGTAACTCCCTTGGGGATTCTGTCTCTTGTTCTCAACATCATGTGTGGAGCCTTGAACCTCATTCGTGGAGTTCATCTAGCAGAGTATTCTTTTCAGGTAACCTTTTATTGACTTCGTAGTTGTAGCATAGGGCAGGGAGAGGAGGATTAGACTGACAGAGCTATCAGATCACAGGTAGATAGATGGCTATTGCACACCATCACATTTCAAGTTATGCTTTGTTTATCCAGAGAGCTTTATTCAGATGAATGACTATACTTCGTGCACTTGGATCTGTCAGAGCTTTAGGGCATTTTGCAAAATCTTTTTTTCCACTGGAGGGATTGGAATGGTGATGTTAATTTGAAAGGTAGAGGAGAATATTATTTTTGACATTCTGGATGGATTTTATGTGGATGTATCTTCCCACTTCAAAATGTCTTTTGAAAAATTGCATGTGTTTCTTTGGCTGGAGCATTTTTACATCATGTAGAAAATGTATAGTGGAATCAGCATAAAGTACCTTTTTAGAAACAACTAAACTTATTTAGTGTTTCACAGTTTTATTTTGTACATAAATTGATACATACATGTCAGTTTCCAGTGTTTAGTTCAATGAAAATTGATTAACTCCAGTCTGATTTTTATATTCTGAGATGGTGATAGTACAAAAGTAAAATGAGAATAAGCACTTCCATAGAATGTATCTATATAAAATGTTAAGCAGCACTTTGCATCAACTAAAACTCAGTAACTTTTGTCATCTTCCCCAAACAGGAAGACCACGAGGGAGTTGGAAATGTAATAGCATTTCTCCTTTCTTTTCTAGCCTGCATTTTTCAGGTATGTTAAGTTTTAGCTGTTGTGCTCTTTTGCTCTTCCTGCATTTTTTATTTACTGCCCTGAATCCAACAAACATTTGTTGAGTATAACCTGTGAGTAGAATAGGAGACTTTGAAGCACTTGGTCTATTCACTGGGTGAAATTCTGTGTGTTGGATGTGCACATCACACAAACAAAAATTGGCCATGGGACAGATGCAGCCTACAAATGAAGGCGTCACATTTCCGACATATTATGCACCTGTTGGCTGATCGCTCTTCTCAATCCCTTTGCTGTAGGTTTATCTATCCCCTTCATTTTACAGATATGACAAGAACTGTTCTGATTTGAATTAGCCCCCACATGAAGCACTAGTTAAACAAAAACTCCCCAAAGCAGGAATAGATACACTTTGTGCTATTTTAGCACTGCAGTCTTTTCTTGAACCGCTTAAAGAGGGGTCATATAAATGGCAAAACTCTTTAGTCATAACTTTAATTATATTAATTAGTTTAAAACTTTCACACTTAAACACTTTGTGAACACAGTCCTTAAAATACTATAGCACAAACCTTGTTTTTTTCCCTTAGTGGTTGCTACCATAATGCATAATAAGTCACCACAGTTCATTGTGAATCTGAGACAGTCATGGCCTGCTAAGTTTTATTCTAACTCTGCCATTGACTTAATGCAGCCTTGAATACATTTCTTTACTTCTCAGCCTCGATCTGTCTATCTGTAAAACAACAATTATGAAGATCTGTTTACTTCATAAAATAGCTGTTTTGTCACTTATTGTATATTTGACTACTGCTCTAGTATTCAGAATCTCATCTCTGTTTCTGCCAGTAAACAATCCTGAGGTCATATACGAAGATCCTTTTGCCTTGTAGTCGTGTTGCAACTGATTTGTGTTCAGTCAGCAAAAGGCATTGTTGATGTCAGGGGTGTAACTTAAATTACTTTACCATTCACACCTGATGCCCTGTGTTTTCTCTAAGCTGTGGGGCAGCACAGCCCCACCCAGGCAGTCAGCTCTATGCATGGAACCCTGAGTCTCTGTCTGGGTGGGGTTGATTAATCACCTGTGATGCTGTATCTGTGAGGGAACACTGCTGATGTGTAAGTTACCCTGATCTGGTATTCAGTGAAATGCAAAAATACGTTACTACAATTTGATATTCCCCATGCACTCGAGATGTAAATGCTCCTTAAAAAGTTAACCAGTTACACAATATAATTGTAATAGTTTAACTGGGGTCTGCAGGTGGGGTGGGGGGTGAGGTTGCTCCAGCTGGCCAAATAACTCATTACCAGGTAATCTTTTACATCTTTACCATGGACCAGCTCTGGTATAAACAGACACGACGATTTGTAATTTACGCTATACATATCATTACTTAATGCTCGTTGCTAAAATGTTACATTCTAGACTATAACAAATTAACATTTAAAATATTAAATGTTTACAAATCTTGCTGTTTGACCAGCTCAGCCTTTCTTCAAATGAGTGAGTTATTTTGGTCACACTATCTAATCTCTAGTGGAAAGAGCTAATATATTCATTGTGTACAAAATGTCACATTGATTTTTGCATGAGCTAAGGCTCAATGAAAAGTTGTGTTCTGTTACAACCACCAATCTATTCCACTGATTTAAGCAAAGTAGCACAAATTTGAGGGCAGAATTTGACCCTTGTTACATAGCAATTACACACTTGACACAGTGCTGCAAAATGCCAAATGGAGCTCTGTGATTAATGAGCACAGAGATGACTGCTTTCCAGGAGGGATGAAGTATTGTGTCATACAGGAGCTGAGATCTTGAGTACAGGTTTGTGCATTATTGCCCTCTGTAAACCTGACTAATTGTAAATAGCGGAATTGCATCAAAGTGTTTGTAACTGGTATAAAGATGGAATTCTAAGTGTAAATACAACTCCAGGCCTCTTTCAAAAAACAAATTGAAAAGCATACATCAATGAAGTATCACTTTGTGTTTCATTGTGGTGATTTAATATGCCAGAAATATTTAGAAAACTATTTGCCATGTTAGGTTACCCTCCTAGACTGATAATGAAACTCTGATTTATATTTGTCCGGAAACTCGGCAGAGAGGAGACTATATTTTATATTCAGACTTTCACTGCCCCACATGGCTTCTAGCTGGGTTGTAACTGAAGTTTATTGCCCTTTAAATTCATTGGATTTTTCTGCCAAAACAAGGGGGAGGCAGTTAGTGACCCATCTCCTCACTCTGGTACGTGTGTAACCCATGTTTACAGAGGTTCTCTGCCTATTTTAATGGATGGACCACTTAGAGGTTTGGCTCTCTTACTGGCTTTCAGACAACAGGGCCTGGGTCTCTTAGCTTAGGCAGTAGAGTCTGATGCTTGTAGATCCAGAAGTCTGACCTGCCCCGTGGTGGTATGTATACATACACTGAGGCTATGTCTACACAGTGGGGAGCGCTTATTTGCATATCTCACTCTCATTTGCATATGTTCTTCCAGTCCTTTTTGCGGAAGAGGTTTTTGCAATAAAAAGCCCTGTGTAGAAGGGGCCATTTGTGGGGAAAAAAATCCTTTTGTTCAAGATCCCATATTCCTCAAAAAAATGAGGTTTACAAAGGGATCTTGCGCAAAAGGTTTTTTTCCCGACAAATGGCCCCATCTACACAGGGCTTTTTATTGCAAAAACCTCTTCCGCAAAAAGGACTGGAAGAACATATGCAAATGAGAGTGAGATATGCAAATGAGCTTTCCATTTGCATTTCCTCTTCTGCAAAAAACCCACAGTATAGACGTAGCCTGAGAGAAGTAATCATGTAACTAATACTATTTTGGGGCCAGTATTTCACATAGTAGATACCTTTTAGTGAGGTAATGTGATCTGCTCCTAAAACATTATATCTGTCAGGTTCTCCTTTGTACCTGGAGTAGCTCTTTCTTGACTCTCCCAACTTCTCACATGGGAGTGGAAAATGCTAACAAACATGTTTGGGCTCTTTGCCCTGTTAGAGTATGGCAGGACAGCATCATGAAGTAACCACAGTCATTGCAAAGTGCTGTCTATAGATAATTATCCCACTGGTTTCACCAACAGGGTTTGAACACAGGGTCTCTGATGCTACAGTGTGAGTCTTGACTGCTTGATATAAACAAGGATCTCCCTTAGCTGGCGTGTCTAGTACACAGTCACCTGGTTAAATGGACTAGCTACTATAGGAGGACACTTAAAACACACTGAACCAGTGGACTGTATATATTCTAATATTTTAAGTGAGTCCTGGGATACTGAGATGGCTTATTTAGCACTTTTAATTATGCCCAGAAGTACGACAGAAGAGAGTATAGGATTACCTCATACCTTCAGGTTGTTGAGCTTCAGCCGTAACCTATAAGGATCACATCCATGGGCATTGGGTATGTAAGGCGGGAGAAGGCTCTCCCTTCCCATACAGGCAGGTATAGCCCTGCCCACACTCTGTTTCCAGAAAGCCTGCTATAGGCGTTCTGGGGGTGGAGTGTTGCTGCCCCCAGCACTCGCCCTCCTGCTGCTGGAGAGGGTGAGCAGTGTGGCGCACTCTCCTGGCGCTCTGCGGCTGGGAGGCTGGAGCCATGCTGTGTGGCATAGCATTTCCTGCCTCTTCCCTCCCACAAGGCTGGGCTGTGCAGCACAGTGCATCTTCCTCCGTCCCAGCCTGTCCCTATGGTTGGAAGGGGGGAGCATGTGTGTGGCATGTCACCCAGCTTCCTGGGGGCGGGAAAGGGACAGGGCCTAGCAGAAAGGGCAGGGCAGGGTTCGGGGCTTGCCTCGCCTAATCCTGCCTTCACCAACCGCCCATGATCAAATCTGAGTCTTGGAATGCAGGCCATCTTTCAGACTTGTTTAATACTTGATGATCCTTTTGAGATTACCAACAAGGGTGCCAGTTGTGCAGCTGGGCTTCTTTTCTCATGGATTTGTTCAGTGGGATCTGGGCGCTACCAGTTCATTTCTGTTGAATGGATGGTATCCTAATCAATAACTTGAAGAGCTGTAAGCATCTCGTATGTGTGCTAGTGACAGGTGCATCTCGAAATGCCAGCAATTGTAAGCTGTGAGCCTTGTCTGTATATTCAGTTTGATGTTGCTAATGTTGTCTTTCTGGTGCTGTTCCAGTGTTGTTTGTTCCTGTTCCACAGTTCAGCAAAGAAGATGAAGGCGTTTGTGTTGATTTTCTCCATTTGTTTATGCAACATTTACTTGTATGGATTAAGGAACATCTGGCAAATACTCTTTCACATAGGAGTGGCTTCTCTTTCTTCATACCAGATACTGACAAGGCAACTCATGGAGAAACAGTCCGATTTTGGAGTCTGAAAACAAACTTGGGATTTATTACTTCGCATTTTAAAAACTCTTGTATTTGCTCACACTGGCCAAAAATAGTTTGGGGGAATATTTTTAAAACGTGCTGTGATAATTATCAAAAGGGAGAGATTTTGAAACAAAACAACTTGACATAAACTATGTTCCTATAACTGGTATTGGACATTTGAGAGATTAGTTAGTTGTGTGTAGTTCAACTGTGCTTTGTAGACTTTGCAAGCATTTGTAATGGTTGGAGTTTCTTGCTGCCATTGGAAATCTTCAGTACTCAATCTCTGTAGTGTACTCCTTGACTAATACCAAACAGTCAGTCTCTTTTCATGTCTCATTTGCTTTGTAACACTTCAAACTCCCATGGCAGAATATATTGAAATTATACGTTAAAACCAAGACTGATTAAAATTGTGGGTAATACAATACTTAGTACTTTCATCTATAGATATCAAGTTGCTTGACAGATGTAAGCTGAGGAGGCGTTTGCCATAATTAGCATAGTCAGTAGTTGGTGGAAGAAACGTTTTGTGGGATTTTCAAGGTTATCCTACTAAAGTGACTTAAAAGTATAAGGATCTAAAGCAGCTGTTCTCAAACTGTGGGTTGGGACCCCAAAGTGGGTCGCAACCCCATTTTAATGGGGTCACAAAGGTTGGCTTAAACTTGCTGTGGTCAGGATCTGAAGCCTAAGCCTCATCTCCTGGCTCAGTCTTTGGCCCCCCTCCCCATTCATAGCAGTGGGGCTTGAGCGAGCTCAGGCTTCAGGCCCCTCCCCTTCTCCCCCAGGGGTCATGTAGTAACTTTTGTTGTCAGAACGAAGTGGTGGTGCAAAGAAGTTTGAGACCTTCTGGTACAAAGGAAAGGAAAAAGGGCAGGCGCCCTTTAAAAAACCATAAAGGACACAAAATGTCTTGAGTAAACTGTACATCTTAATTGTTGGTAAGGTGTGAGCTCATTTGGAAGTTGTCAGTAAGTTTGAAGCTGCATAAACCAAAACAAGAAAACACAACAGACTTTTCTTCCCAGGTGGCCTCTATTTTTCTGTTTGAAACTCACACTGTTTGGAGGGGCAGCTGTATGTTTGGTTGATATAGATAACCAAGCATGGAAGATGTATTTTGTGGCAACTCAGTGGTTTCCCCCTCTTCCCCACCTTTCAAAAGATGCATGATTAGCAATTAGAAATCCATTCCCTATCCTGGAAAGCAAGAGCAGGTTCTCTTTACATTTAAGCTCTTATGCTAAGGTTAATTTATGAGCATGCACTTTTGAATAGAATCATTAGGAACTGATTTTTCCACCTTTTGCTGCTCTGCATATTTTGGTATTTCAGGTGCTGAAGTATGCATTGGCACTTAAAATGTAGATGGATGTTTTTGATACTTTTTTGGTAAATTGTGTATGAATGTCTAATGTTTTGATGAAGCTCTCTTTGGCGTGTGAACAGAGAATCAAGAGACTGAGACATTGCAGGAAGCTTTTAGTGTAATATTGTAGAGGTACCTTCTTCAGTCTTAGAATAACTAGAGAGATCAACCTTTCTGGATGTTTGCTCTTCAGATACCAGGTCAGATGAGAGAGAAAGTTTTGCCTCCCTGAGCTACTAACAAGCCCTAATAGAATGAAACTGAGGAAAAGGAGCATTTAGGTTTAGGTCAGAAAAAACTGCTTGCTCCTAAGAGCTATTAAACTGTGTGGAGTAGGCCAACGTAGCAGGTTCCAGACTTCATGGTTAACATGCCACTGGCTTAAAAATTTGAGGTTTGAAATTTCTCCTTTTTTTTGTGTGTCCATTAATTTTAGGCCTTAATTGGTTTTTGGTATTTCTGGACTCATAGTAAAATAAATGCCTAAGGAAGCATAAAATTGTAACCTCCCTTTTAAACATGTCAAGGCCTTCATCATCAAATCAAAAAGCACAATGAAGCAGCAGTAGTTGGTCTTTTTTATATTACTTCAATTACAAGGGAGTAATTCAGTGTCAAATGGCATGCTGACGTGTCTCTGCATGCTGCTAAGCTGTGTCAGGGCTTGGCTTTTTAACGTATCTAAATTCAAAGTTTTTCCTCATTCTTATCTGAATTATTGTTGAACGTCAGCCAAAGATCTTTACTGAAACTTTGGCAACATTTTAAAATATTTTGATTAGCTCTTAATTTAAATTTTCTCTGATTTAAAAACACAGAAGTACCATTAATTGAAGGGTATTTTTGCTTCACAGATCAAGGTTGCTTTGTGTCAGGTGAGATGTTGCTGAGCTTCAGCTGAAGGTCTGGTTCTGCACTGAACCAAAGTTCATCCTGTACTTCTGCTGAATGGTCATCAGAGCAAAAATCCAGTTCTTTCAGGAAACCTTTCTTAGCATTCAGCTTAATAGTACTTGTAACGTGTTGTGCTCATAGGAAAACAAGCTATGAAGATGGCTCAAGAGTAAAAGTTGTTTTTTTAATAATCTGCTTTGTAAATTTCCATTCTAAACTCTAATGCCTTGCTGAGGTTACAGGACAGGATGGTCATAGTTCTGGCTAGACATCTGGAGACCATTTTCTACCAGTTGGCAGTGCATCGACTTACATAGGGAAGGCTATTTCTGCTAGGAAAAGGGGTAGGAGCTTTACTTCGTACATGGACAAAACATAGTGGGGAAAAATTTTAATGAGAAAATCTGATCTCTGTGTCCCCCATGGGCCGTGATCCTGGTAGTGTTGTACTTGTCCATGAAATGTAGTTGAGTAAAGCTAGTCTTGCATAGACTTGGGTATCTAGAACATCTAGATATATGAACACTTCTGTCTGATGTGAATTGCAGCAGAAGGTGGACATACCCACACTAGGGCTGTGTCTAGACTACATGCCTCTGTCGGCAGAGGCATGTAGATTAGACACATAGGCAAAGGCAAATGAAGCCGTGATTTAAATGATCGTGGTTTCATTTACATTTACATGGCTGCCACGCTGAGCCGACAAACAGCTGATCAGCTGTTTGTCGGCTCAGCGTGGCAGCCATGTAAATGTAAATGAAACCACGATCATTTAAATCACGGCTTCATTTGCCTTTGCCTATGTGTCTAATCTACATGCCTCTGCCGACAGAGGCATGTAGTCTAGACACAGCCCTAGTGTGGGTATGTCCACCTTCTGCTGCAATTCACATCAGACAGAAGTGTTCATATATCTAGATGTTCTAGATACCCAAGTCTATGCAAGACTAGCTTTACTCAACTACATTTCATGGACAAGTACAACACTACCAGGATCACGGTCCATGGGGGACAAGCCGCGATCATTTAAATCGCGGCTTCATTTGCCTTTGCCAAAAAAACAAATCTACATGCCTCTGCCGACAGAGGCATGTAGTTTAGACGTACCCTCTCTCTGGTCCACCTGGCACACAGAAAATGGAGTGTAGCCAAGATGTTACAAGGGGTGGGAGGGCTAGTTAGTACGTACCCTCCGAGATGCTGGGTTTTAAGCATAATGAAACACATCATTGGATTCACCTACTGAGGGATCTTTCTAGCCAAGATTCTCTAGGAAAACAATATATCAAAATCTCTCTACAACATTTTACTGCCTCACTGGATACTGTCTGGTGAACGGGCAAACACCTAGTAGAGATTTGATACGAATTAAGTAGGATTGGCGGGGAACCATTTGCAGCGAGACTTGATTCTGTAATACGGGTAAACCTGCCTACAAAATCCATATTAGGGAACATTCATGTAGCAATGTGTGTCCATTAAGATCTGAACACTTCTTCCAGGTTGGATTGTGATTCATGGACTAAGAGTTCACGTTAAATGTTCACTGTCCTGGTTCTATTTTCCTGTAAGAGGGTACACTGGCTTCTTGGCACATTTTCTTTATGTACAATATGGGTATAATATGTCTAAACATTCTTTTGCTAAAACAGGAAAAGGGATAGCATAGTTTACATTGATATATGTCCTTCAGGATTTAGTAAAATGAGTGTCTTACCACTTGAGAATAGAAAATCTGCATTGGAATGCTAAGATTATGCTTATATTGAATTAACTCTTTTTTTAAAAGAATCAATTTTTTGTCAGAACCTTGGGCCATTTAAAATAGCTTGCCTGTTTATCCACACAATTCATACTTTTCGTTTTCACATTAAGTCCCTTAGAAACAGTTGTTTGTCTAGAAATACAACAAAAGAAAACAGGTGAAGAGTAAACCTTCTTGCAGTTAAAATATTTAAAGGTGCCTAGGCAATTTATGAAATTTGACCTATTCTCCCCTGGCCTTTTTAAACCAAAGATCTGGTAAGGTTTCTTGAAAGTCTGGCTGGTACCTTTTAAAAAAAAAAATTTGCACTGCATTAACAATTGAACCTGTGTATATGTATGTAAAGTCATTTTTGCATGTGTGTGTGTATATATGTACATATCTAATGAGTAGGGTAAAAAATAAATGACTTTTTATAATGACTGTGTTCATTTATAACTTGTTAGTGAAACACATCAGAAACAGGATAAACAAGCTTTTCATATTGCATTGTAAACTATAAATATCCATACCAAACTCTTGTCATGAGGGCTGAAAATGATTTTGAGAATAACTTAAAGAAGCGAGAATCTGAGTGTATTGAATATCTATCTGTTCAAATGTTGCCCTAATACTCACTGGACTGCATAGGCTCTCTATTTTTAATGAAGAGATGTCTGCTTGTAGTCCATGATAAGCTGCTTCAGTGGTATGTTACTGCCTCTAAAAGCTGCCTTTCAAAGTGATGGATGCTCAGTCCTGGGGCTATTTTAAAATTGGACTGTACAAAGCACTTAACAACATAGCTGGTCTTCCAACCTATTCTTTTAGGACCCAAAACAACTAATTGGGGCTGTATCCATGGAGCAGGGCAGCAGCTAATCTTTAATGAAGGTCAGCATCATCAAAACAAGTTTTTTTTTTTTTAAAAAAAGACAAAGTTCAGTGGAATTGTTCAAGTCCAGACAAAGAAGATAAACAAAAAATACGTTTTTTGGGAAAAAGATGTGCCCATAAAAATGAAAATCAATGTACGAGGTGAAAAGGCAATTCAGGCTCCTTTCAGACCCACTTGGTGATTGTATAAGGGAGCTGGAGTGATGTATAAGCCAAAGGTGTACATGTAACTTGCACTTTTTGCACTCTCCTGTTACCTTTTTATCCTACACTCCTCTCTTCAGTCCCTTTAATTATATTAACCTAGGTTTACTTAGGTGCAGAGATCGAAATTCAAAGGTGATAGGGCTAAATTACTGAGTCTTGTGCTCATTTTCCAATATGTAAACATAAGGTGCTTTCTAAAATTCCATACCTAGTTTTTCTCACTAGGAGAAAAGGTGTTTAAACCCCACAGCCTTAGGGTACACAAGGGAAGTTGTCAGTTTAATAACCTTTAGATGGTCAAAGTAAATCCAAAGTGCCCTGACAGCATTTTCTGTGATCAGCTAACAGTCGTTAAAACTACAACTGCTTTTTGTACTCCAGGATGTTTTGTCCTCCAGGATGTTAATGTGCATTAGAAATCTACCTTTTTCCTAGCGTAAACATGGTCCAGCTTGATGTGGGTGACTAGGTAACAAAATGGCAGACGAAATTCAGTGTTCATAAATGCAGCAATGCACACTGGAAAACATTACATTAATTAGCTGTTACAACTCAGGAAAGAGACTTTGGAGTCATTGTGGATAGTTGTCTGAAAACATCCATGTCAGTATGCAGCAGCAGTCAAAAAAGCAAACCATGTCGGGAATCATTAAGAAGGGATAGTCATGAGACAGAAAGTATATTGTCTCTGTATATGAATTCATGGTACACTCACACATCGAATACTGTGTGCAGATGTGGTTGCCCCTTCTCAAAATATATTTTGGAATTGGGAAAAGAGTCAGAAAAGCACAACAAAAATGATGAGGGATATGGAATGGCTTTCATATGAGGAGAGATTAATAAGACTGGGATTTTTCCAAGGTGAAAAGGGACAATTAAGAGAGATGAGAGGCCTATAAAATCAAGACAGGTGTGGCGAAAACAAGTGAGGAGGTGTTACTACTTCTCATAACACAAGAACTAGAGGTCATGAAATGAAATTAATAGGTAGCAGAGTGAAAACAAAAACTATTTATTCATACAATGCACAGTCAGCCTGTGGAACTCTTTGCCAGAGGGTGTTGTGAAGGCCACAACTATAACAGAGAAAAAAAAACCAGGTAAGTTGAAGGAGGATATGTCCATCAACGGCTATTAGGCAGGACATGGTGTCCCTAGCCTTGGTTTGTCAGAAGCTGGGAATGGGTGAAGGGACATGGATCACTTGATGGTTACCTGGTCTGTTCATTCCCTCTGAGATACCCGATATTGGCCACTGTCAGCAGATGGGATACTGGACTAGATGGACCTTTGGTCTGATCCAGTATGGCCATTCTTATACCCATAAATGCGTTGAAAGGGCAATTTCAACTCTCTAGCTTTATCTTTGATTACATCTAGAAAGGCCTAGCGCATCTACCTTGGAGGGTTGAAGGGCTGAGCCAGCCTTGCTGAAATTCTAATTTAAAGTGCTGGAGTATGCAGATATTTCCAGCTGAGTTTGCCATGCCTTTAATTTTCACCATTTAAATCCTGTCTTTAAAAAATTGCCTTTCAGGGATGCTAGTTTAGGACACTTGAAACTCAATTTTGAATACTTAAATGGTTAAAACCCTAATTTTTTTTAATTTTTTTGTTTTTGCTACTACTAAGAATAAAAGGTAATCAGAGCACAGGACCATATTTAATTACACTTGCTAGAATTAGTCATTCTGTATGAGAGGAGGTGAGAAGGAGCAAGCAAGATAGAAGGGTTGAAATAATGACTATTAAAATGTAAAGCAGTAGGCACCATAGCATGGCACAAGTATAAAAAGAGTGGCTGAGACATATTCATTCGTTATACAATGAAATATATTAACATACAAAATCCTTTAGTTCAAGGGCTCTGGTAGGGAACAGTACAAAAAAAAGCAATTATGCAAAAAGTTTGGCTATGCAAAACAGTGCTTATAAATATGTATTAGATCAGGCAATTGAAGAGCCCTGCCTGCGGAGGTACTGAACTCTATCAACTCTCACTCACTTGACTGAAAGTGGGGTGTGCTGCTGAGCCCCGGGCAGGATCAGGCCTGAACTATCCACACTTGGCTAAGGACAAACAAGCCTTTCACTTCCTGCATCCCATTCAGACAGGGGATGTGCAAGACACAGGGCCTGCCATTCCCCACTGCCTCTTGTATACTGCGGACTGGCAAACTCGCCTGCCATTCCCCACTGCCTCTTGTATACTGCAGACTGGCAAACTCCTTCACTAACTTTTGGTGGACCGGTAACATTTTATTTGCATATTCATTATGGTAATTAAGAGGTCACGTGTTATGTCACAGTAGAGCTGTATGCACACAAAACCTGTTGTAAAGGATCAGAGTTCGCAGATTTCTACGATGCTAAAAAAAGTCACGAGGGGCAATTTGTGCCTGCAGAGGGAGGGGGAACCACAGGGGCAGAGGGCATTTGCGCACCCTATTTTAGCAACTGAAAGGTTGTCGGGGCATGGGAGCTGGTGCCCCCGAGTGCTACCACCAGTCGCCTCTGCTCTCCCCCCTCCTTCTCCATGGGGTGGGGAAGCTGTCATTTTATCTCCCCTGTTTCCTTCTGTACAGCCCCTGCCCTGTCTTTCTCCCTTCCCCAGCCAGGCTGCTCTTGCTCCTACAGTCTCCTCCCCAGCCTCTCCTTCCTGCATCCCTCCCCCCGGTCCCTTCCTGGGACCTCCCCTCAGAGTTTCCCTCCATTGTACCCTGCTCCCATCTGCCCCATAGGTCTCCCCTGAATCCCCCCAACCTCCCTTCAGCGCCTCCTGCATCCCCCTCCTGCCCCTGCCTCACACAGCCCTCTCCCCCCTCACTCCCATCCTCTGTCCCTACTCCTCTCCAGCCCCCTCCTGCCCCCCACAGGCTGGCTCCCACTGCACACACTGGCTGCTGGCCTCCATTGTACCCTGCTCCCATCTGCCCCATAGGTCTCCCCTGAATCCCCCCAACCTCCCTTCAGCGCCTCCTGCATCCCCCTCCTGCCCCTGCCTCACACAGCCCTCTCCCCCCTCACTCCCATCCTCTGTCCCTACTCCTCTCCAGCCCCCTCCTGCCCCCCACAGGCTGGCTCCCACTGCACACACTGGCTGCTGGCAGTAGCTTCCCCAGGCAGGGATCTCCGCCAGCTCTGCTGGGAGCAGCCCAGGGCCAAATCCTCCCCCTGCAGCGCCTGGGGTGAGAGCACTCTTACCGGCTCCCTCCCCCAGCGCC